ATGCAACTAAGACTGAAGATTTGCTTTTATCCACTATTGTTGCCAGGTCCCTTTGAGTGACATTTTGATCTCATGTGACAGAACCCACCGCATCACCAAACCACCAACCAAATTGAGTCATAGCGACCTGATAGGGTAGGGTAGAACCGGAGAGCAATCCTGGCTGTGTTATGTGCCATCGATTTGTTTGTGACTCATAGCGACCCTGTGTACAACAGCTCTGAACCCTGCTCTATCCTCAGTCAACTTTATCATTTATGACACACACCTACCCCCATTACCCCAGTCAGAGTCAATCCATCTCATCCAGGGTCTTCCTCTCTGTGCTTCACAGGAATTCCAAAGCTGGATCTTTTATTCTGCTGGTAGTTTTGAACTGCCAATCTTTTAGCTAGTATCCAAGTACTTAAACTGGGCTACCACCTGAATGGGATAGGACAGTGTTCAGCTAGATTACTCATAGGATCACTATGAGTTGTACTCAATTCAGGGGCAGCTAACAACAAAAACAAATCTCTCATTGTCATGAGAGCAGGGTATTTTGTCCCTTCTGAGGGCCTGCAAAGCTGTAAATCACATGGGAGGAGAATAGCCATATGTTTCCCACTGAGCAGTTAGTGGATTTGAACTTCTGAACAAACATACACTTTAGGTTGGCAATTTAACTCACTGCAGACTACACCTCTAGAGCTCCTTGTATGCAGTATGCACATACAAGGAAGACCCGTTAATATAACTATTATTCAAGACACTGTATAAGGGAGCTTTGGTGGCCTAGTGGCAAAGAAGCTGAACTACAATCCCAAAGGTGCGCGGTTCAAATCCATCAGATGTTTTGCTGGAGAAAGTGCAGCCAACAATGTTCCTGGGAGGCCAAGACAAAGCTTCATCTCATATACTTTGGGCAAGTTGCTAGGAGAAGCTCTTCCTTGGAGAGGGGTATCACATACGTGGAACGGTGGAGGGTAGGCAAAGGAGAGGAAGGCCCTCAACCAGGTGGATTAACACAGTGACTGCAGCAAGGGGCTCGAGGGTGTCAGAGATGATGAGCATGACCAGGGTAGGACAGGGTTCAGATCTGTTCACAAGGTCACTATGAGCAGTATTCAATAGCACCTAATAGTGCTTTATCAATACTTAAGTTGGATCTGCAAGTACATTAACATAAAATTTTGTCCACTAACAGGTTCAAGAAAAGCATCCAAATGCCTCTATGGAAACTGTTACGTTTAAATTTTGCCTAATGGATGAAAAAAAGACTTTCTGTTAAAATGAACTAGGCAGAAGGCAGCCTAGGTCCTCAACTAAGGCATCAAAAACAAAACTAACAGACACCAATGCTGATTCTGGCATCTAGAATTTAAAAAGAAAAGATAAAGAAGTTTAAACATTAAATGAAGGAAGACTAAAGGAAAACCTCAAACAAGGAGGAGTTTTCAGGAACCATTTTCAACAGCCATCTGATTGGTGTGGGGAACCTGGAACTGTAAGGGTATCCACATCTTCAGCTGGCCCATCTTGGCCTTTGTGACCTGCACCCTCCCAGGTATCAGAAGAGTAACTTCCCACTGTCACCACTTCCCCAACCCATGTCACCTCCAGCTGAGGTCAGGTCCAAGCCATTTTGTGTCTGCCCAGGAAGCATTGGTCCACTCTCCATTCAGACTGCCTGCTAGGGCCATACCAGGCTGTATCAGCCAAAACCTTTTGCTTTTTTATTTGCTGTCATGTTTTTTTATTTGTTGTCCTATTTGCCACTTTCTCATATGGCTTTTTTTTCCCTTTCCCTTGCCATTCTTTTCCTTTTTCCCCTTTTACCTGATTTTTTTCTTTTGTACCCCTCCCATTTTTTGTTTTTCTATTTTCACTACCCAAACTTGCTGGTGAATGCTACCAAACACTCAGAATAGCTGACAGCAGTTTTACACAAATATTTCAGAATACAGAAAAAGATGGAATAGTCCCAAATTAACTTTTTTGCAGCAAGCATAAATAACCCTTATGCCAATGACACCACTGAAAGAGAAAACTATATAGAATAGTATCTCTCAAGAACATAGATGCAAAAAAAAAGGAATATATTTGCAAAAATTCTCAACAAATCCTAGTCAATAGGATACAAAATAGAAATCATTGAGGGGGCTCTGGTGGCCTAGTGGCCAGAAGCTGCACTGCAATCCCAAAGGCATACGGTTCAAATCCACCAGATGTTCCACTGGAGAAGGGACAATCTCTTCCTGTGCCAGTTGGATCTGATTCTACACTATTCAACAACAAACCATTTGGCATGATCCAGTAGGATTCATACTAGGTATGCAAGGATGATTCACCATTAGTAAAATAATCTGTGTAATCTACTACATCAACAAAAGAACCACATGATCATCTCAATGGATGCAGAAAAGGCATGTGCAAAGATTCAGCACTCTTTTCTGATACTAAAGCTTAACAACACAGGAATAGAAGGGAAATTCCTCAACATAACCAAAAGCATAATGTTCAACATTACTGTCAATGGAGATTGAAGACATTCTCTTCGCAAACAGGAACCAGACAAGGAGGCCCTACTTATTCAATATTGTATTGGAAGTCCTAACCAGAGTAAAAAGACAAAAAAAGAAATAAAATGCAGTCAAACTGGCAAAGAGAAGGAAAACTATTTGCAGATAGTGTGGTCATGAACGGCGCTGCCAAGCCAAAGGCATGCCGTTCAAATCCAAATCCACCAGCTGCTCTTAGGAAGACTGATACTCTCCTCTCATGTGATTTACTGCCTTTGAAAACCCACTGGAGTGTCAGCTATGAACTGGTTCTGCCTCGATGGTACAATGATGATCTTATAGAGAAAAATCCCACAGACTCAACCAGAAAATTATTGGATCAAATTGATTCCATGAACAGAGTCAAAGGTACAAGACCAACATACAAATACCAAAGGGGTGGAGGTGGGAGAGGGGGTGGGGGTGTGCCAATTCCTCTACAGTAATAAAGAGAACTCAGAAAAGGAAGGAAAGCAATACCATTTATAATAGTCACTCAAAAGATGAAATATTTAGGAGTAAATCTAACCAGGGATGCAAAGACCTCTACAAAATTACAACATATTACCACAACAAACCAGAATAGACCTACATAGAAGAATGGGCCAATCTCCTCCCCTGCCTCTGAAAATCCACTGGGTCAGTTATGCATTGGTTCTGACTCTATGGTACCTACAACCACCACACCAAGACTCTAAGACTTAACACTGAAAAAGCATCTACAATAGCATAACAAGCTGGAAAGCCCGATCTCATCAATTTTCAGTGAGATGGAAAAGGTAATCATCAACAACCTCTGAAAAGGAAACATTCTGTTTAAGCAAAGTGCTAGAGAGAAAACAAAAAAATTCAAGTAAAAGGCCACTTCCTGCTTTCAAAACCCACACTATATAGCCATGGTAATCAACAGAATGTGGAAATTACAGTAAGAAATATAAGCAAATTAGTTTCAATTTTATATACTAGTATGGAATAAAAAAATATATTTTCTATTATTAAGCAATTATTTAACAGTAAAAAATTGGACACTTGTCCCACATACTTTTGTTGTCACATGCTTGGGAAAATGGGTGTCAGTGGAGATGAGAACCCCTGAAGAGATGGACTTACGATGGCTTGAGCAAAACAGAACTTCAGGATGGCATAGGGCTCATTAAGAGTCCAATCTGCTGTACATAAGGTCTGAGTTTACTCAGACACCAAACATGCATGCCAGGTTGGGGGGAAGATGCTCAAATCGCTATCGTACTCATCACTTTCATGGTAAATGGACTTTGTATTACACCATTGATGTCTCAGAAAAACTCTTTTACTAAATACAGTCACACTTTTAAGGTTCTGGCTTTTTTATCAGTTGTGGATTAAGCATTTATCTGAAGCCATTTCAGCAGGGGCACCCTTTGCTCATTCATTACTTCCCACCAATCAAGAACAGTTTGATGCGAGGTAGGCTGCCTTTTCTTTTCCTACGATCTGGTGTAGTGCACCTGGAGCTGCTTAACCAAGACTATCATCTAATGATAGACAGTCTGTTCCCATAAGCATTTACAGCCTCAGAAATCCAGTGTGTCCCAGCCACAAGGCAGAACGGGTTTGATCTTCTGGCAGTTAACACTTCAGAGTCCTCCTGGCCTAAGTGCACTAACAGTCAAGCATTTGGCTGCTGACTCCAAGGTCAGTGGTTTGAACTCAGCAGGGAATGAGGAAGACAGTCTGCTTACACAACCTTGAAAACTATGGCTCTTCTCCATCCCAGAGTGACTGGGTCTCGTGCTTTCAACCCAGACTATACAAACAAAACTGAGTATCAGATAGTAAAAGTGATTGTTTAGAGCTGTTATATTTCTACACTAAACTGAATTTCTATGTAAAAACTTTGTTAGGTACCAGTAAGAAGTCATGGTTGCACCTTAAAGCCACTTCCAGTCTTGACATTTGAGAGGAGTAATTCCATCTGATTTTCACTCCATCCCCCCTGGCCAGTGAGACCACCAGTTGGAAGATTTTATTTACCAAGAGAACTTGAACCTAAAGATAGGACATAGAAACAGGTTATTACCTGTGTCCTTGATGACATCATTATCTCCCTTCAAATGCCTACATGACTACCTCAAGTTATCTGAGCTACATGGACATCAGCTCTGTCGGTTACCCTTCATCTGTAACCCTAAAAACCAGATTTGAAAAACAAGAGCCATACTCAAGTAAAAGAGTGGAACGTAATTTTTATTTACAGGACATTGCAAGATAAGAAATTCCACATAGAAATAAGAAATCCAATGACAGGAGAGGCTTCATACAGTATGTACAGTTTGGAACTGTTCAAGTATAGTTTTGTTGTAAAAAGTGCTCCATTTAACAAATCACATTTATAAAGAGTTCTTAGAGAAGACAGTAAGACAAAATGATACCAAACATAGTACACAACAAAGAACTTTTTGACTCAGTTGTACAAACTTTTTAAAAGTTAAAGGTCCCAGCAGTGTCATCCTGAACTTGGAAGGCATACCCTTCGGAGGTAGCTTCTGGCACAACATTCTGATCCTCTTCTTCCTGAAATTAAAAAAAAAAATTTATATAAAATCCACTAGATGTTTAAGTGGCACAATAAATAACTGAGTGCCTAAGTCTCTGTAATTATTCTGAAGAGCTTCATTTTTTTTTTAAGAATACAAAGAAAAGTTTTTTGTACAAAATTAAGGCCTTCATACTTCAAGGCTCATCAGAGCTTAAGACAGACTAGTATAAGGGGAGCTCTGGTGGCCTAGTGGCAAGGACCTGCAACTACAATCCCAGAGGCACACAGTTCGAAGCCACCAGATGCTCTGCCAGGGAATGAGGGACAATCTCCTCCTGTACCAGTCAGATCTGTGTGCGGTACACGCACACAAAAATAATAAAATTAAAAAAAAAAAAGAAGGAAAGACAGACTAGTATATTATCTAAGTATTTCTAAGTTTACTTTCAGTATGTCCCTTGCTCTCAGCTATAAAATGGCCTGTCCAGAGTTATCAAAAAAAACATAAATAAGGTCGAGTCCTTTAAGGAAGACTCCCCCAACCATTATTTCTTGGCATAAGTGATCATGGTGTGGGATGGTGTGATCTTAAATCCCTGCAAAGCATCCCGAGCAGCACCAGCTTGCCCATCGTTTTCAAACTCAACAAATGCAACGTCATGCCTGCCAGGTACCAAGTGCACTTCCTTAAATCCAGGGAACTGATTAAACAGCATGGATAACACCATCTCCTTAGTTTCTTCTGGTAAATTATTAAGGAACAAAATATAGTTTGGAGGGTAATCAGGGACCTGAGGACTTGGTGTTGAATTTCCTTGAGTAGTAGCTGAATTTGGTGTTCCCTGACCAGGTTTTCAGCTTGTGGCTGCTGCAGCCTGTTTCATAGTTTTTGCTTTTTTCTTCTTTCTCTGTCAGCAAAAAGTTCCACGCATTTTAGAAATTCTATCAGAATCTGTCTTTGCGTTGGATTCGTGTTGGATTGCCATAAAACGGAAATCCTTGTAACTGTTTCAAATCGTTTGTGGATAAGCCAAGTTCTTTAAATATAACAAAAGCCTGTCCCTTCATCTTCAAGGTCTTTAAAAGCCACATCTACCACAAGGCCAAACTGAGAAAACAGGGCATATAAAAACCTTTTTTTTTTGGCCAGGGCCCCTCAGATCCCCAGGTGTCAAAGGTCCTGGGGGGCACTGTGTCCTCAGGAGTGATCGGAGCCCAGTGCTAGACATCACGGGGGCCAATTTTTTAATTTTGTCATTCATTGTTGATATAAACTGTATGATTTGGTCTGATATCCATGTTTTCAGTTAAATTGTTCAAACCACCTGAAGCCTCCTCGTGCTAGAGCTGAAACCTATTTCATCTTTAAAGATCTTTATCATACCCCAGTATTTGAAATGAGGGAGGGCAAAGTTGCTAAAGAGGCAACCACTATGAACTGGCCAGTGGAGAAGGTAGTTAAATGCTTTTTTAGTGTCAGAAAAAGTTTTCATCCCCACCTGTCACTTTTCAACAGGAAAGGGGACTGTTCATTAGGCTCCCAGTATGGTTACAGTGCTGGTCCACTTCCCCGTTGACTTGAGCACTTACACTCATATACTAGGAAGTGGAGCCACCACTGGAAAAATGTTTTATCTGACTTATATGAACATTTTCTTCTGTGTCATTATCACCCATTTTACTCACCTCAACAGAGAAATACTTCTCAATCAGTTTTAATGAAGCCTTGTACACACTCTCATTTTCATGGTTTTGTAGAGCTTCAATTTTGTCCAAGCCTCCACATTCTTCAATTATTATACCAAGCTTTTCAGTTTCACCAATTTTCTCAGCAGCCTAAGAAAAACAAAAATTTTTTTAACTTTACCACACTGCATTCACAGGATCTTATTTCAGTGACATCACAAAACTAAGGACTTAGTGGTTGATGTGTGCTCTCCCCACGGTGGGTTTTCAGAGGCAATTCAGAGGCAGAGGAAACCACCCCTGTCCATCCTCCCACAGAATAGCTGGTGGGTTTGAACACTGTGCCTTTGAGGTTGCTTCTTCTCTCTAGGCACCATTCTAACATAGTAAAATGGATGCCCATTTTATTTTTCCCTTTATAAACGTAAACTGATCAGACCCTATACATTTTCAACTGTAACCTTTCCTGTGCAGGAGACTTTGAAATTAGTCTGAAAATGGGAGGACAGGGAATTACTATCTTGTTTTTTAAAAAAATAACATGCCACCAAAAAAACACACCAAGTCACATGAGACTCACACTGATCCTCCATCAGTGTTCTGAGGCTGTAAATCTTTTTTTTTTTTTTTTGGGGGGGGGGGGTGAATTTTCTAAATTTTCTATTTAAAATTAACCAGCTGCACTCAGTTTAGATGATCCCAATTTTGTTGGCAACATCCAAAGCATCATAGTCAGGAGCACAAGTTGAACATAGGCCGCCTTCTCTCCATCAGGCCTAATCAAAGTGTGGACGTTGGCCACAGCAATATCATAAAGATTCTTAACACCTTGTTGGCCTTGACATCCACAATAAACACAAGTGTGTTGTCTTCTATCTTATTCATGGCTGACTCAGTGGTCAGAGGACGCTTGATGAGGACATAGTGGTCAAGCAAGTTTCTCCTAGGGTGCTCTTCTGGGAGTATCTGGGTTGCCTTTGTGGAGTCTCAGTGTCTCAGGCCACCGGAAAATGGGATCTTTCTCTGGGGGGCTGTGGTTGCCCTTAAGGACTGCATTATTGGCCTTTACTGCCTTTGTTTAGAAGGGGCAGGGGCTTCGTTCTTTGTAGAAGTGAGGCTATAAATCTTGGAGATGATAACTCTCATCTCCCTTCCAACAAGCTGCTGCTGCATTGGAACAGTCAGCCACTGTTGGACTGTAAGCAGTCCAACGTTGAGCTCACTAAACCTTCAGGACACTGTGATGGCCCCTCTCAAAATGCCAACACTAAGGGAACTCTGGTGGCCTAGAGGCAAAAGAAGCTGCACTACAATCACAGAGGTACGCGGTTCAAATCCACACGAAGCTCTGCTGGAGAAACAGGAGGAATCTCCTCCTGTACCAGTCAGATCTAATTTGACGGTACACAAACACAAAATAATAAAATAAGAATTCACTTTGATTAAAAAAACAAAACCCAAACGCCAACACTCACGGAAGGCGGGAAACAGCACTAGTCAGTGTTAAAAACAAATTCTTCTGGCAGCACTACTTGTTGATATTAATTCACTACCTACCTCTCATGAAAAAAAGTATGTGAGAATTGTTGAATGTAAAACTAATTTTCACTGTTAACTTTCACTTAAATGACAATTTAAAAAGGAAAAAAATAGTATGACTAGCTTTTTGTAAGTGTTTAGTTAAGAGAAGTATGTTTCACTTCAAAAATAACCTACGTTATTTTTTGAAAAAGAGGAGTTGGAAAACCGGTCATCCTTGAGTCAAGTTCTATATATATTCTATAATGAGAAGTTTAAAAGTTGATGACTTGATGGCCCAGTTACGACCAATCACTGCTGGCATGCTTCAATCATTTAGGGATGGAGCCAGAAGGATTATTACTAGATTAATTACTAAGTCATTGTGTAAAGTTGGTTCTTATTCACAGTGACCCCAATTACGTCTCCAATAATTGCAAAGGGATGGTTTCAAACTGCTGGGGGATTAAAATTGCCAAAAATATACAACTAGGTATGACCGACCACCACCACCAGAGTTCCCTGACTAGTTAAACCATTTAAAATTAATTTCATCAAAGTTTAGGATGAAAATAAGGCATTTATGAAAGAATTAGGAGCGACTAGTCCTCTGTATGTGGGCTTGGCTCCAATGTAAGTAAGTAACATCATGTACTTAACTGCTCTACATATTTTCTTATCACATCTCATCACAAATATGGTCCACATATAAGAACTTTTTGATCCTGGGACAATGAGTCAACTTAGCCCCACATGTAAGAACTTTAAGATCCTAAGACAACTAATGAGTAAACTTAGCCACTCTCTCCCTCAGTAAAACCTTTCATCAACCCAATTCAAACAGCTATCATCCTGTTAAAGTCACCTGAAAGATATTTGAAATGGCATCCAGAATAACCAGAATAATCTTGGTATCCTTCGCAGTTAAAAGGTTCATCAGTGGCTCTATTATGCCGCATTGGACGAGGTATACAATCTGTTCAACTGTTCCACCACTTGTATAGTTGGTTACAGCCCATACAGCTTCCTTTTGAGTCTTAAAGTCCGCCTAAAAAAACAAAGATTTATTTGCACCATGGTACAGAGAAGACAATTAAATTCAATAACTTTTTGTTGTGGTTTTGTTTTTTTTTTTTTTAAACAATTATGCAGCTTACTAGAGAAGGAGCAGATTACAATTTAGGTTGGAAACATTGGGGAAGCAAGCCTTCAACTAGGGTAGCTTTTTCTCATGTAGGTCTTGGCTCTAAAGGCCCTGGGCTCTGTCTCCTCACTTAGGCAAATGCTCTGAAACTCTTTCAATTCTGCCAATTATGTGCTCTCCATCCCACCACATTTCTCCTAAGCCAAAGCACTCAGCTCTGGCTATGTGGAGGATCATAATGCAGTTTTACCAAATAATGACTCAAACTATAAATAGGTTTTCAACAACTTTTAGTGAAAGGAGATACTAACAAACTGTAATAACCTCACTAAGCACAGTTCTACCAAATGTTTATTCGTAAAGATACAAATACCAATGGCACTATTATTAAATGCCAAGATGTTTTTACCTTTAAGAGAATGTCAATGAGGAGTGGGATTAATCCATGATTCACTACTTGCTGAATCTGGTCCTGACGGCCTGCTGTAATGTTTGACAATGTCCACATAGCTTCCTTCTGAATGTTGGTTTTAGGATTGGTTAAGAGGTTGGGAAACACAGAAAGTGCTCCTGCATCTATTACAACCTGAGTCTGTTCGTCAGTTCCTGTGACAATGTTCCCTATGGCTCTTAATGCAGGAGTCTGTGTGGGGAAAAAAAGTGTAACAAGTTGATGCTGGCCATCACATTTTATTTTTCCAGCACTATTCAACAACTCTGTATCCCAAAACATCATTTAAATAGCATTACGAGTATATAAAAAACCCAACCCTTGTAGTAAAAAGGTCCAAACTAAGAACTAGAAATTGCCTGAAATTATTATTATTTCCATGTTAGCACCATTTCACCACGCTAATCGTTTATATCCTACTCTAACGGCTAAAACCTTACCACAATTGGCAATTCAATAGCTGCTAGAAGCTTCACGAGTTGGGGTACGACTCCTGTTTTCACAACCATTTCAATTCGTTCATTTGGACCATCAGTAAGATAGGAAATAGCCCAACAGGTATCTGCCAACACTTCCGGATCATCATGATGCAGGAGTCGAATTAAAGTAGGGAGAAGCTGCTCAACAGCAGCCAATGGAGGTGCAGGGTTCTTATTTCGACAAAGATTTGAAAGCGTCCAGGTAAGATTACGCAAGTAACCACACTGGAAAAAGAAACGGGGAGGAAAAAAGCAATGAGCAATTCTCTGCATTTGACTGAAAGAAAAAGAGAATCAGAATTTTGGAAGTTTACTTATACTGGTAACGTACTGCTAATGATGACATATCAGGAACAGCAAGGAGCGCCAAGAGCGGGTCAATTGCACCGTATTTGATAACTAAGTCTCGGAAAGACGAGCCATCACCTGGAAGGGGGGGAGAGGGGATAAAGGAAAAAGGAAGGAGGTTCAAAGAGAGCAAGATTAACCATAAGTACCTGTCTTAAACATATGCACCAACAATGTTCAGTGCAATGAATGAATGAAAACCCAAAATCTCTGTAAATATTCATTAAAACTAATAAAATTTAATAATAATT